TTTATATCTCTCTACATGTCAGAAAACACATTTATATCTCTCTACATGTCAGAAAACACATTTATATCTCTACATGTCAGAAAACACATTTATATCTCTCCATGTCAGAAAACACATTTATATCTCTCCATGTCAGAAAACACATTTATATCTCTCCATGTCAGAAAACACATTTATATCTCTCCATGTCAGAAAACACATTTATATCTCTACATGTCAGAAAACACATTTATATCTCTACATGTCAGAAAACGCATTTATATCTCTACATGTCAGAAAACACATTTATATCTCTACATGTCAGAAAACACATTTATATCTCTCTCCATGTCAGAAAACACATTTATATCTCTCCATGTCAGAAAACACATTTATATCTCGCCATGTCAGAAAACACATTTATATCTCTACATGTCAGAAAACACATTTATATCTCTCTACATGTCAGAAAACACATTTATATCTCTCCATGTCAGAAAACACATTTATATCTCTACATGTCAGAAAACACATTTATATCTCTACATGTCAGAAAACGCATTTATATCTCTACATGTCAGAAAACACATTTATATCTCTACATGTCAGAAAACACATTTATATCTCTCTACATGTCAGAAAACACATTTATATCTCTCTACATGTCAGAAAACACATTTATATCTCTCTACATGTCAGAAAACACATTTATATCTCTCTACATGTCAGAAAACACATTTATATCTCTCTACATGTCAGAAAACACATTTATATCTCTACATGTCAGAAAACACATTTATATCTCTCCATGTCAGAAAACACATTTATATCTCTACATGTCAGAAAACACATTTATATCTCTCCATGTCAGAAAACACATTTATATCTCTACATGTCAGAAAACACATTTATATCTCTCCATGTCAGAAAACACATTTATATCTCTACATGTCAGAAAACACATTTATATCTCTCCTTGTCAGAAAACACATTTATATCTCTACATGTCAGAAAACACATTTATATCTCTCTACATGTCAGAAAACACATTTATATCTCTACATGTCAGAAAACACATTTATATCTCTCTACATGTCAGAAAACACATTTATATCTCTACATGTCAGAAAACACATTTATATCTCTCCATGTCAGAAAACACATTTATATCTCTACATGTCAGAAAACACATTTATATCTCTCTCCATGTCAGAAAACACATTTATATCTCTCCATGTCAGAAAACACATTTATATCTCTACATGTCAGAAAACACATTTATATCTCTACATGTCAGAAAACACATTTATATCTCTCTCCATGTCAGAAAACACATTTATATCTCTCTCCATGTCAGAAAACACATTTATATCTCTCCATGTCAGAAAACACATTTATATCTCTCCATGTCAGAAAACACATTTATATCTCTCCATGTCAGAAAACACATTTATATCTCTCCATGTCAGAAAACACATTTATATCTCTACATGTCAGAAAACACATTTATATCTCTACATGTCAGAAAACACATTTATATCTCTCCATGTCAGAAAACACATTTATATCTCTACATGTCAGAAAACACATTTATATCTCTACATGTCAGAAAACACATTTATATCTCTCTACATGTCAGAAAACACATTTATATCTCTACATGTCAGAAAACACATTTATATCTCTCCATGTCAGAAAACACATTTATATCTCTACATGTCAGAAAACACATTTATATCTCTACATGTCAGAAAACACATTTATATCTCTACATGTCAGAAAACACATTTATATCTCTACATGTCAGAAAACACATTTATATCTCTCTACATGTCAGAAAACACATTTATATCTCTCCATGTCAGAAAACACATTTATATCTCTACATGTCAGAAAACACATTTATATCTCTACATGTCAGAAAACACATTTATATCTCTACATGTCAGAAAACACATTTATATCTCTCTCCATGTCAGAAAACACATTTATATCTCTCCATGTCAGAAAACACATTTATATCTCTCCATGTCAGAAAACACATTTATATCTCTACATGTCAGAAAACACATTTATATCTCTACATGTCAGAAAACACATTTATATCTCTCAATGTCAGAAAACACATTTATATCTCTACATGTCAGAAAACACATTTATATCTCTCCATGTCAGAAAAACACATTTATATCTCTACATGTCAGAAAACACATTTATACTCTCTCCATGTCAGAAAACACATTTATATCTCTACATGTCAGAAAACACATTTATAATCTCTCTACATGTCAGAAAAACACATTTATATCTCTACATGTCAGAAAACACATTTATATCTCTCTACATGTCAGAAAAACACATTTATATCTCTACATGTCAGAAAACACATTTATATCTCTCTACATGTCAGAAAACACATTTTATCTCTTAACATGTCAGAAAACAACATTATTAAGCATCTCTACATGTCAAAAAACACATTTATATCTCTCTACATGTCAGAAAACACATTTATATCTCT